AATTATTAATTATTTTTAATAATTAAATTAAAATAAAATTAATGACAAATTAATGCCTAACAAAATATCATAATGCATCAGTCCAACGTAAAGGCAAGTGCAGGACACAGAATAAAACAAGGATTAGTGATGGACAGCTCAACTGGTTGGGAAATAGGACGAGTTTCTAAGACGAACCGTGGAAGGAAGATGGAAGAAGCACATGATGTGATTGCTTCCCATCTGGTAATTAGTAATACAAGGTAGGTAAGTGAAAATGAAGGAAGAACCACATGAGGTTACCTTAGGTGGTAAGCAGGATGTTCATTTGCTTGAGTATTCTTAAATTCGAGGCAAAGTACTCAGAATGATCCGAGAATTGTACCCTTTTTGGCAATGAACGAAATGAAATCTGAACTTTATTTTGTTTGATGCATCTAAATGAAGTCAGGCTTTGCAAAAAGGTTGTTTTCAGGATTGAACATGTTGAAATTAGGTATACAATCTCTAGTACTTTACAAAACACCAGATCATGTTGTTGGGTCAATAGTAATGACCATTCATTGGTTAAAATTTTAAAATATAAAAATAAGGTCAATTTGAAAATCTTCCTTGAAAACCAAGGATTAGTTAAGTCTTAATGTTGTTAATTTCCTACTAAATCAAGGACTAAATGAGGAGAACTCCTTCATATGGCCCAGTAAATGGGCCATGCTACTTCAAAGAGTAGCAGGTGGAGCTCACTTGGTTTCGACTCTAATACTGACCTATAAACAGATACTAACACCTAACTAATGTTTCTCTTGTAAAAAAAAAGGACTAAATGAGGAATATATATTTCCCCTATTTTTTAATGAATAGATATTGTTTGATTCTTTGCTAATGTAGAAGGAAAATTAAATATCAAGACTTAACTATACTTAACTTTCTATGAAAGTTTTTTTATTTTAATTTATTTTTATAATTTGACTAAAGAATAGTCTATACACCAACCAAACAAGCCCTTAGTATTTTTCCTAGAAGTTTCAGATGTCCAACTTCAATTTCTAGACATTTAGAAACTGGTGAAAAATACCAAAAAGTGCTTAAAAGAAAACCCTCCTTGGGCACACAGAATGTCAGAAACTAAAGATTGCTTAAGCAAATACAAGGCCTCTGGTCAGCTTAAGAAATAAGAACAGTAAAGTGATTTAGTGGATTGGTCAAAACAGATTTTGAAAACTTAAAGAAATATGCTATGCATTTCAAGACACAATCCAGTGCAAACCCAATATCCACATAAAGTGCTAATGATGGGAGTAGAAACTCTTCAATCACCATGCAACATTAAATCCAACTGATGCTTTTGCTGATTTGGAAAAGAGAACTAAATTATTATTTTTTTTTTTTGTAAAAGCAAAGTTTGATAGAGACTAAAAACTCCCTGAAGAGGAAATTACTACACTTAATATTCAACAAACACATCATTGCAGCACAACCCCCTGCAATGATGTTATCTCAGAAACCACATTGTAGCAGATGTTATTTAGAGTAACTACATGCAAAATACTGCCAGATAAGTAGTCATCCCACTATATTACAAACCCAAAATAGAAAATACTGCTACTACATTAATTCTTTAAAAGAGCAGATAACAGAAGAACTACTTACATTGCAAAGCCTCTTCCAACTTTGCGACCATGGACTTTCAAGAAGACATTTCCAGCATCATCTGACTTCCCAGTATCAAGAGCAATTGCACCGAATATTGCCCGGAATGCACTGCAGACAACAATAGGGGCTGAAGAATTGGTCTTTGGTGAAACTCTGACTACTTTCTCCAATCCTAGTTGCATCCCATCAATAGTACAGGAAGCTTCCACTTTGGAAATCTCCAACACGACTTGGTTCAGATCTTTTGCAGAGATATCAATATCTTTTTCAAGGGAGTATAGGGACACCGATGACTCAATGACATGGCCGCCCAGAATGCTCAATGCCTTGTTGTTCTCCTCAGAGAATGAAGCATGGGTCATGGCTCGTTTAAGCAATGCAATGTTCTTGAAAGTATAGCTGAAGATTGAAGAACTAAAACAATAAGCCTCTCTGTGGTTGACCAAGAGAATAATGAATCCCAAAATGGAAGAAAGACCCCTAATTTGATAATTCACGTTGTTCACTTGTTCTTGTACAAAATACTTCCCACTAAAGAAGCTACAGTTAGAAGGTAACATAAACCTTCTGTCATTTCTCCTCAGTTAATAGCTTAATTTTTCAAAAGATGTCGTAAAGCATGTATCCTGCCCATTATTTGCTTCTAAATTATTCTATTTTCCTTGGTCAAAAGTTCAAAAAGTTCCCAACTTTGTGTCTATAATACTAAATTATATACACAACCAAATCAATTCCAAAACTAAAAACTAAAATGTGATAATAGACAATACTTATGAAACTCTTCTACATCTAGTCCTTAAGTGACATTTAGTTGGAGGAATGAGAATGACTACTCCTAACAATCTAAGAAGACGAAAGGTATAAGGTATATCATCTTCCTCTAAATTAGGGATGAGCAAGAAACAGCTATTACCAACCCCATAAGAATGGATATTCCTTGCTGATTCCCTAATCTAAAAGAAAATGAGCAACCTTCATCCTTCTCCATTCCTAACTTATCAAGTAAATTTCTTGTTTTCATGGTTTGATTCTCTTAGCCAAAAATATGCTCAAAGAGTCAGTTTCACTTCTTGTAAATCTGATCTAATGTCGCGCTCTTTATATGGTATCAGAGCTTCATAGCTCAAACTAAGTCTTCCATGGTTCCATCCATGGGCACAGATTTGCAAAACTCCACCTGTACACCAACCTACCACTCCTGTCCCAGTATCAGTGCAATCTCCGGCGACCTACCTCAATCAGGTGTTTACCAGTTCAATTCTTTTGCCCAACTAACATTGATCGATGGAATGAAATCATGGGTGCTATTATTTTTAGACTAGTTTTCTATAAACCTTTATAAAATGAATGAAAAAAAAAAAAAAAAACTTGCCCGATTTGCTTTTGTAACGTTTCGAGAGCTGAAGGGAAAGGAGATGACAGCACAAAGCTCCGATCTTCATTCTTCGTCGCCGCATTCACCTGCTAACAAAAATGGGTTTTGTTCATACTACCCAGGGATCATATCAAACGCTTTAAAATTCTCTTCATTTTTCTTTTTTTTTTTTTCTTTCTCCATTTCTCTCTGGAAACAAACAACAAATTTAGGGGTCGAGGGCAACAACTTACCCAAGAAACAGAGAAGAATGTTAAGAGGATCGCAATGAACACTTTGAAGCAGCGGAAATTCATTGTTTTTTACTAGGGAAATAACCTAAGAAGAGGGTTTTGGAATTTTTTGTTAGTGATGGAGAAACATAGAAGAACCCCAGAAACATTTTTATCTTATTATTATGATTCAGCTTCAAACTAATTTAGCTTTTTTTACATTATTCATAAATATAAATTTTTTAAAAAAGTTTATATTTTTAAAATTTTTTAATTTTAGAAAAATTTTAAATAATAAATTTAAAAAAATTTTAAATTTTTACTTTTTTAAAAAACAAATTTATTTATTATTTATTTTTTAAAATAATTTTTAAATTTTTTCTCAAATAAAAATTTAATTTAAGAAACATAAATAGTTTTTAAAAAAAAACTGAAAACACGTTCACCAAAGATACTCTATATTTCCCTTCGCCTTCTCTCCCAAGTTCTATAAAGAGTTGGGCCCCAATAACACAAGATTAAAAGATTCTCTTCCACGTTTAAAGGCACTGTCATTTTCTCTGTTCAGTGCTTACTAAAACATGCCTCTAGCCCCCAGAAAAAAAAAAAAAAACCCCTATACTTGATTAAAGACTTAAATAACTCAATA